GAGACTCAGCTATGTGGTTGTGTTCGCATGTAAACGAAAGCTGATCAAAAGTCGTTTGACTGATGACGAAAAAATAGTAACTTTTTACTTAGCCCTAAACAGACCAGAAATTCAACTGGCAAGGTCGAGACGGTGAAAAACGAGTAGGATTAAGGTAACTGACGCCTGCCAGTCGTTAATAGGTACTTTTTCTACGCTCCGTCGCTGTGTAGTATTTGGGCGAATGTTACACCGCCCATTTTAAGGGGTAAGGAAGATATCTCACGGAACTGGGGTTTATAGTGTCTTTGCCGACTAGGTTAGGTAATAATTGTTCTTTGATAATGTTTTTTCATATTTCTAAGTTTTCGATAGTGTTAGGCGTTGTCCTGGCAAGAAATGAAAGTTTTTCTTGTACTCCTTTAGTATAGCAGGCATAAACGTTTTGAGGGGAGGTTTTAGCGATTTCCGTTAGTTTTTTCAAATTTTGATTTGCTCATTCTGTTGAAATTCGAGGAACTTTTTACATTCAGATTCTGTTCCTATAACTGAACCAAGCACTCGGGATCCTGCCTTTAGAGTGATTCGTGTATTTGCGAAGTTTTTCTGAGCTTCACAGAATTTTTCATCCTTGACAATAAGTTGGCATTTGGATGTTTTCACGTGGTAGCCGAAAAATTTACCAAGTGATACAATTTTATCGAGGACGGTTAATAGATTGCTTAATTTATCGACTGCCTTTCCGTCGTCTGCGTACTATTTCTGGGTTACATCGTCTACTGATAAAAGTTTTATAAGGGGTATTATGGCTAGACCGTACATGGCCATTGCTAGTGGATCCCCATGGGTTGTCCCTTCTTGAGAGTAGATTGTTTTTTTGTTAACGAATAGTTTAGACGGATTGGAGTAGGAGTTCTTAATCGCTGTTTAAAGGGAAGGGCAGCTATTTTCGATGTTTTTTAATGCCAGCTTTCGGTTCAGCGAGTTGAAAGCGTTTTCGTCATCTATCAGTAAAACAACATCGGCGGTAATTTTGCTGTATTGATCTCTTAGCGTGTGGATTGCATATTCAATGCCACATTTTTGTCCTAGGCAGAGTTGGTAGTTTGAACCCAGCGACAGGAGTTCGTTTTTTAGGCATTTAGTTATTGTTCGCCCTATTATCGTACGCGTAACTTCTCCTATGCCTATGGGTCTTACCCCTGGATTCTTATCTAAGGGTATTAATCTGCATGCGTTATATGGTTCCAAAGTTCTTCTGTGGCCAATTTTTTGGCAATTTTAGCAATTTTTTTTTGAAATTTCAACTGATTGTTGCCCGAAGTGTGTTAAAATACGTCTCCATTCATTTGGATCGAGGCCAGATGGTCCATGCGATCCGTGCGTTCTCATGGCTGCCTTCTTGATATGTTGACTGTTTATCTGATCAAATATCGATGGATGGAAAGGAATTGTTTCGTTTGAGACTGGTGTAATATAGTTCTCATCAATTGGTTTAGATGGTGGGTGTTACTCTATGAGAGTCTGTGCTACTGTCCTACCTCTGACAATCTCGTCGAGCGAAAGAACGCCTTTAGATGTGTCTGTTAGTTTTGCAATTGCACTTGATACTTTTCCAGTATTCATTAGTTTGTTGAACTGTTGTGCTTCATTTTCACTTTTTCTTCTACTTCCTTTCAACAAGCGCATTTGCAGCGCCTTTCCTTCGTTATATAGTCCATCCAGGCCTCCGTCTTAAGTCTTAATATTGTCTTAATAACATTCTAGCTATAATTTTTTTATTTCATTTTTTACGCCCCTCTCAGATAACACAATAGCATAAGAGCTTGAGTTTTCTTTCAAATGAGGCAAAACTTGGTCATCGATTCAAAAAAAACATAAAACAAAACTGAAAAAGTGCCGGAAAAGGGAAGCGAACTGAATGTGAAAAGCCAAGCGACTTGATAATGCTTGCTCGTTGGAAAAGTATCAATGAAAGCAAGGAAGCCAAAAAAGGCCTGATTATTATTGAACAAAACTTCAAATCTCGAATTTTAAAAAAATTATTAATGTTTTTTAGGGTTTGATGCTCATTGATTCTCAAGAACCATTGATGATTAACGTTTTTGATAAAAGTAACCCAAATTGTTGAGCTGGATCAAAAATTAAATTTTCTTTTGCTGAGGGAAATCTAAAAAGAAAAAATTGCGTTCGAAACTAGATGCCATTCACGTTTTTGCATTGGGAACGTATTTTTCTTTGAATTGAAAGTACCGTGCTGATCCAAGTTAAGCGAAATTGAAGTGAACACAAATTGCTCAGATTTTTACCAGAGTTATTATGGTACAAAAAAAATTTTATGGAATTTGTGCCCACCAAAGTTGAACCCAAAAAAAACGTGTAATTTTCAGTTTTTTTCAGACATCTAAAAACTTGCGTAAATTATTGGTTCAATCGATTCCTAAATTATATCAAAATGTTCCTAGATTAAATCAATTTTGAAAAAAGCTTAGTTTCCAAAAATAGCGCAAAATTGATTTTAAATAAATATTTGTCTCTTTATTTAGTTAAAATGACATTTTTTTATCAATTCAGCAAAAGTATATTCTTTCCGTGTCTGTACACATCATTCCAATACAAAACAGTACTGTATATGATAGTCCGCAAAATCATAGCATAGCGCAAAAAAACAGTCTCACACAAAAATAGTCCCAAAAAAGTAGAAAAAACAGTCCCATTGATCGACGTGATAATTGTTTCAAAAACTGAAAAGAAAACTTCTTTCGTATTAAACACATTTTGATTCCAACTAATCCGGATAACACAAGTTAGTTTAGTAGGTAAATTAGAACATTCTAGATAACAGCAGCGGTGACTCATTAAAAGCAATATTACACAAACTATTAAATTTAATGCAATTAAAATAGTGGATTTTTATTCATCCATACAAAAAGAAACAAAATATTCGAGTTGTTTCATTTGCGAACACTTGACAACATTTAATAGAAGGTCAATTCACTAAATATTGATAAAAATTATAGGTACTAGCAATTAGTCTGAGTTCTTGCTTTTGAAAGGTATGCTTTTATTAAACCATTGAACTTTGTCAGACAACTACCTTTCCTGGCGCTGCGCACAAAATTAGTTGCAAGGGGCGTGTTCGATTGAAAAATGACTCCGTTGATATTGTTAAAGATCACTGCCACTTGCCCGATCCAGCTGACATCAAAAAACATGAGTTCAGAAAAGCGCTTCAAATTTGAGCCGCAGTTTCTGATGTAACACTACGGTAGACTATTTTCGCAGCCCAACGTGATGTGAATCGAGAAAAAACTGTTCATTTACCAAGTTAATCTGCTAATCAGCAAGCTGTAAAGAAAGCTCGACATGAATAAACCAAAAATGCCAGAAACAACTGTGATAACTGGCTTTGAAATACCACTGGCTCTACACAAAACTCACGATGGAGAGTAGCTTTTGTTACAATTATGGTCTCCAAGATGAAAATAGGGTTATCGTGTTCGCCACGTTACCTGGGTTAGACCTACTATCGGATGATTACTTCTGTAATGGATCGATTTCGCTGCTCCCAATGTATTCTATCAAATTTATACAACATACGCTTCAGTTGAAGGATGCCGTACACCTCTTGTTTGCGCCCTGCTACCGGACAAAAAAAAGAATGATCTTATTGTCGCCTCCTCAGTATTTTAAAAGTTGAGTCCCCAAAACGCGTTACAATTGATTTTGAAGTGTCTGCGTGAAACTCAACAAAAGCTACCCACCAGAGCGCTCAAGTTCAGTTTTTTTTTTTCCATTTGAGTTGAAGCGTCCATATGAGTGAACCCTTTGTTGTACCCTAGATATACCCCTTATCATATCTACCGAAACTTCAACTTAATGGAAAATTTTTTGTGTCTTTGATCTGACTTATGTTTCAATCTTTGGCTCTTTGATGTTTAATTCCGTTCATGCTTCATTTTTCAATGCGTTAATCTTTTCTGTAGGCACCAAAAGATCAAGGTAGAAAAATTTGACTGGTTGTGGACTGTTTTGTGCGAGACATTTTTTTATGCACCATTTTTTCATAAAAAATTTGAGAATGTATGCCTTCATTAATTGTTGTTGGGCTAGTTAAAAGGTTTACTTCGATATAATTTGAACATCAAGTGATCAAGTAGTTTTGATGTAATATTTAATTGACTATGAAAAGCCAAAAATGACACACTTTTGGAGTAAAATAATATGCTGGTAAAATTCTTTAGTTTTCTTTGGCAACTTTGTTTTCGTCAGTTTTTGCTTTTTACGATCCAATTTGAGAATTTTTTTTTAGATTTTTCAATTCTTTTTTTTTGGATACTTTCCTCGATAATTTAAATCAGCACTGTAGTTGAATTGAACTTAAAAAATCGAAATTTCAATCAGAAAAGATCTTCACTAACTTCATCTACACTTAAAAAACAGTACGCCTTTTTAAAATTTTTCAAAATGTCAGCATGAAGTTATAACGGGTACCTTCCAAAGAGAAAACGCAATTTATAACGGGTTAAGTGCAAGCACCCGATATGTCAGTCGCCTAAATAAGATAGCTATACAAATGTAAATATCTGAAAAACAACTTTACTACGACAAAGATCGGAAATCTTTACAAAAGTAGAGCAATCATGATAGATGCACTATACCCCACCCATAAATCCGCTGGTGCATCCATACCAATGATGCTTTTTGGGCCAAGGTTTATTAATAAGTCAACTCAAATCTCTACCCACTATGGTTCTAAAGGCTGCAACTTTTTCAAGAAAAATCATACAAAACACCATTTTAACATCGTCCCGTTATTTACACAAGTCCGCGAAATTGTATGGGAAAGATACTATGGTTCCGCCAAACACTGCGTGCTCAATACTCAAAAGTTTACCGTTTTTTACATCTGTGAACGCTTAAATTGTATCTACAAACTGTTTTTTTTTGTTATTAAAGTTCATACACTGTTAAAAATACATCTATTGTTTCTATCAACATTGTGTTTTTATCAACCTAAACTACAAGTTGGTCCTTCTCTTTGACTTGCTCCGATTAGTAGACGTCTTTTCAGTGGAAGCCTCCTTCTGCTTAGATGCAGATCTCGATCCGGATCTGAGTCCCTTGACCAGAGTCACTGATGGGTTTCGGCTTCGTTTCTGTTGGCTGCCCTCCCCCATTCCTGTGCCATACTGTTCTCGCAGGGTCATACGTTCGTTGTAGGCGTTCTCTTTTTCGTCTTTAAGAAGACGCTGCAGTTTCGTCTTTTCCGACTGGAGCTTCTTAATCTGGAAAAAAGGGTAATACGTTTATGCTAAACGGGTCGTACGTTTACGGTAAAAAAAAAAAGAGAAAACAATTTGTATAAAATTTATTTGATTTACTCGTTTATAATCAGCTTGAAAGTTTCCATTTTGGCATTAAACTTTGCTGATATTAGAAATATTTGCCGAATTAAAAAGATAATATGCAAATTTATTCCTCTTTTATATGAAGAAAAGCGAAAAATTGTGATCGGAGATTTTGTACGCTAATGCTGTCGACTAATTTATGGATTAAGGATACATTCAAAGAGATGCATTAGAATAAGTCAAAAAATATTGTTTTAGGTTTCTTACCAATTGGTAATGGCACATACATAAACTGACTTCTCTTCCATGATAAAGGATTAAAAAACAAAAATAATTATCTTAGTTTTTATTTCTTTCTACTCACATCTTCGCGCAGTTTGGGAATGACTTCTCTCTTCAAATCATTGGCTTCTTTGGCCAAATTCCGGTTGTTTTTATTGACCCAGTCCAAATTAGTTTCCAGGAATTCAATCTGCCTCTGGGCTATGTTGCCAGTCTGGAAGAGTTCTCCCTCGTAGGGAAGTGCGTTCGGAACTGTCGACGACTGGCGCTCGGAGGCGCCTGCGGATGTCTTGGCGTCTGCTTTTCTTTCGTTGATGATAGCTTGATTTGCTCGTGCAAAAGCGGCCGCCATCTAAAGAACACGTATCCAGTAAGCTTGCAGGAAGCGTTGAAAGTTCTGGACATATGAAATGACAACCATACTAGTGGCTAACCCGCACTGAAGTTCATGAGTAATAACCGGTTATATTGGATTTTAATTTTTAGTCTCAATAAATTTCAAAAATCATCGATTATATTCGATTAAAAATGGATTGTAATCCCAATACTTTTATAACAATTTAATCGATTATAATGGCTTTTTCTAAGACATTATTGATGAAATGTTTTCTTTTAAAGTTATCTCATTTCCTGTTTAGTGCAGTTATGTTTTATAAACTTTTAGTTTCCACGTAATATTTTATGTTTTTATTTTTCCCTACTTTTTCAAATTGGCAGTTAAACATTTTATTTAATTGTTTTTTACTATCGCTCACTTTTACTATCGCCATTCACCCATAACCCCTCTCACGTTCAAGTAAGGGGGGGTTCAATGGTTGAAGGGGTTTATTTAATGATTGATAGAGGGAAAAGTTGAACGAGTGGGGGTGACCCAACGTAGACTACAACACCTCTTCTAACTTCTAAACCCATTTACAATTCCCATGCCCCCCCCCCCCCCACTTCCCCCATACCCAGTTTACCCAACCTCTAATTTAGATTTGTTTTCGAGAAAAATAGAAAGCAACGGGATCTTGTTAACTCCCCCCCCTCCCCTATTTCGATTTTCAGAAATTCAACTTTGGCGGCCACATTTTCATTTTCAATAGCTTACAACGTTTTTCAGAAAATATATATAAATATTTAAAATACTTTACGTGGGTATGATATAAATAGTGAGTAATACAAATACAAACGCGCAAAAATGAAAACCCGCACCGAGCGCTCATGGGTTCTAATCGATTTTAATGGACTCCCGGGACAAAAATAATCCATTGTAATCCATTAAAGAGGTAAAACTCAGACCACGAAATCGATTATATTGCCATTATAATTGATTATTTTAAAGAAAAAAAAATCCATTATAATCCATTATAATCGATTATAATCCAATATTTTCGGCACTGAAATCGACTATTTTTGCCAAGATAGTCCATTATGATCGATTGTTTTTGAAACAAAAATCCATTACAATCCCTTTTGCAGGAATTTTGCAGAACGTATGCCATGTCTTTTACTAAATGCAATGTCTCAAAGTCACTCTCTCGAGTTTTTTTAGCTTCGAACTAAAGAGGGGATGCGGTAAATTGGGTTTTTCAATCATTAACCCCCTCTTTTAAAGACTACCAATAAATCCCCCGCCGTGTTCAACCATAAAGGGGGTGGCGAATTACGGTTGTGGTAAACTGGCAGGGGGGGGGGGGGGGGCAAACTGTGCACTGGATACTGGATAGGCGCACAATTTTGTGTCTGTATGTTGCTCGATTCCAGAGACAAGTCCTTAAACATGTTAAAATTTTGTCGAAACAATCAAAGAAAAAGAAAGAACAAAGGGAGCGTCTTTGTTGCGGAGTCCGCTTACAATCCACAAAAAAATGCACAGTTTGGTCTCGTAATGTTTTGAAATGCTCATTTTATACTGAAATGGTTGTCAAAAATGATACATGCATAAGGGGGGGGGGGGCAGTTAACAAGGTCCAAAAGGGGGAAATTGGGGATCTTGTTAACTATTTCACCCCTTTTGGACCTCGTTAACTATTTCCCCCTATGCATGTATTATTTTTGACAACCATTTCTGTAAAAAATATGCATTTCAAAAACGTCAACAATTAAGTGAGTTTTCATTTTTGCGCGTTCGTATTTGTATTACTCACTATTTATATAATACCCACGTAAAAAGTTTTATATATATATATTTTCTGAAAATTGTTTTAAGCTATTGAAAATGTGGCCGTCAAATTTGAATTTCTGAAAATTGAAATAGGGGGAAATAGTTAACAAGATCCAATCTTTATTCTCAGATATGGATAAGAGTACGGTCCGGAGAAAAATGCAAAAAGCGTCTCAAAAAAACCATTCCCATACAACATTTACATAATACTTGTTTTTATCAAACCGGAATCGTTCTGTCTTATCTGCCAGAAAATTATGAGAAAACTGGAAGTGCTGTGGGTCCTCTAATGGTGGATTGAGGCTCATGAATTCAATACCTCTCATGAGTTCAATACCATCAATTTCTAAAAATCTCTGGCTCAATGTTTTATCAAAGTCTCTAAAAATTCTCAAAAACAATAGTTTTGGCACAATACATATTTACATATATTAACATCTGCTGTGCAGAAAGTTTTGGCCAAATACGCTCATCAAGTGTGGGTATAGTTCTGAAAAACATTTAGGTCAACATAAAAAACTTTGATTAAGTTTTCGAAAATTGTATGAAAATGCGCCTCCCTTCTTTCAAAAAAAGACCTCTGTGTGAAGCGTACCTGTCGTTTGATGTTGTTGAGTGTCTGGATCTCCTGGTTGCTGGACTCCTGCATCAGATCCATCTGCACCAGAGTCGCCTGTTGCTCCCCCTCCTCATCTTCCATACGCTTCATCTACAAATTAGCATACAAATATAAAACATCTATTGAACAGGAAAAAAGAAACCGGCTCGCGAATTGAAAACAACGAAATAAAGTTTGAGATTTGAGATTTCAATTTTTGACAGCTAGGTTGAAAATTACGAAATGTTTGTGAAATGGTATAGAAAAAGGTTTTGATTTTGTCCCACGATTTCTGGACCACAAGCGCACATAATTTTGTTCACAAATCATGCCTTGTTCATGAGATTTTGACTTTCTTCACAAGTCATCTCATTGCCGTTTTCTTGAGTCTGATCTCCGGGTCAAAAAAGACAATGATAGCTTTTGGGCAAAAAATCATCAGTATCCGCCATCACAAGCAACAGTTTGAAAGGATTGGCACAGATTTCGTCCTATTGATTTAATTAACAGATTTGTCCCATATCCAACATCTTATCATCCCATATCCAAATTTGTGGGACGAAATCTTTGTACGCTTTGAAATGGGACGAAATCCGTTGAAATTAAAATGTGACGAAATCTGTCACAGCCGTTTGAAAGATAATAAAAAAGAGCCGCAGTAAAAAAATTAGGCAAACTGAATGGTAATAAAAACAATGTTTTCAATCACATACAAAATGAAAAAATGAAATTTAAAAAAACTAAAAATCACTCGGGCCAGTTTATTGCTTAAGAGACCGACGTGGTTTGACCGAGAGATTCTTTATTTTCCGGGAGAGGGGGAGGGGGAGGGGTACTTACATCCTCCTTCTGCTTCTGGATATCAGCCTTCAGTCTCTCGATCTCGGCCTTGAGTGACTCGGCCATGAGCTGCCACTCGTCCTTCTCCCTCTCCATCGCCTTCCTCTTCTCCTTCGCATCCTCCACCTCCCTCTTCAACACTCTCTCCTGCTTCCTCTGCTCATCCCTCATCATCTCCAGGTCAGGGTCCACTGATTGGTCTGTCCCTGTCAGACGCTCACCTGTATTTGGCAAAATTCAGCTTAACAGACGCGAAGACGCAATTTAAGTTTTCTAAATCAGCATACAGCTTAACAGTATCTAAGAGAACGGCTAAATTCACAGCCTAACGTCAGATATTTAGGTTAGAAAGGATTTTTTTTAAAGTAGATAACGCTCTAGGGCTTTCTGGACTTTTTTGAAAGTTAGTCACAATTTTATCCCTCTCAAACATAGTGTATATTTAATCGTCGGTCAACAAAAAATAAATCTCGTAAAATAGTACCAAGGGAGAAATGGAGGGCACTTGGTCAGGAGGTCGGGTCGAATCACTGAGAGGGCGGTTAGCTAGAGCCTGTAAATCCTCCCCTGTCCAAAATTAATGTGTAACAACAAAGCTTCTGCATTATTGTACATTGAATCATTACATTGGACTGAAGCTGTCAATTGTACAACCATGTAATTAATTGCAAGCTTTCCAAAACAGAAGATTATCCTAAGCCGCTTTTCACAGAACCTAATTATTTTAAATAAAACGTATGTACTATTTATAATTATTGCTTATAAGCATCTTCTAATAAAGGTAAACTTTCTATCCGCATGAGTATTATGGCCAGCTTTCCATCGAACTGGAAAAATCTACTTCAACCTTCTGAATTTCGCCACTGACGGAATGAAACAGTAATAATGAACACTGATGGAATGAGCGCAATTATATCAAAAATTTCTGGTCTTCCTGTGGATAGTTTTTTCGTGTAAAAAAAACCAAACACAACAACACGCCCCCTCCGCCTCCCCCATCTTTATTGATTTTATGCGCAGAGCAACCTCACCTCTGCCAATGGCTGCAATCTGGTCATTCCTCTTGTTCACCTTCTCCTCCATGTGTGCATTTTTCTCTCTCAGGTCCTCCAGCTCGTCCTGCATCTTCTCCATCTTCTCCTTGGACTGGTTCAGCAGCACCATCTGCTCCACGTGTGCCTGCTCCTTCGCATTCTTCTCGTTCTTCATAGTCTGCAACAACATCGCCACAACTTAAGCTAGTTTTAATGATAACATCGGCTCTTTTTCCTCTTCCTCCATTCACTGCTACAATTTCAAGGTTTAACCTCTGTCCCATAAATTAGTAACTTTCAAAAAATGTACAATAAATAAGTTTATATAATTTCGCAGGTGGGGGAAATAGAGCCGCAATAACTAATGCCGATAAAATCAAGATATTCTGAGAAAATTTGAGCAAACAGCCAGGTTCTTTCAAATACAACTATTTTAATCAAAATATAGAGTTATAACACGCCAATAGTTTTTGAAAATCTTTAAAATGTGTCTTAACGTTTTTAGAAAAAGGTGATTCACCGATTCACGAAATATGCCGACAGTTAGGTTAGTTGCAACATGTATGTTCATTTGGTCGCTCCTAAAAATTGTTGTTAAATTTTTTTTTCGTAACAAACTATTCCTGAAAACTGCCTTTTTGACAATATGTCCGAACTGAAATACAAAGAACATTTCTATTTTTGGAAGAACCGTTCAATTTTCCAGAAAATTTGTCGTTTTTTGAGCGTTTTTCCGAGAAACAACTTTAAAGTGTCAGTGATCTCAACCAACCCGGAGTTCTTCACGCATGTGATTGAGGTTCTTGGCCTCTATCTGCTGGTAGTGTCTGGCCTTGGCAAGCAACACCCGGAGAAGAGAGAACGTCTCGTTTGTCCGCTTCGTGTCCACCTTCTCGACCTAAAGTACCTTCCTTCACTTTCTCAGTGTAGGAACAGGGAAATGAAAGTATCCATAATTACCTAATTTAGCTACATCATCAATTATAGCTAACTGAAACTTGGAAAAAGAGTAAGGAACGCAAGGAAACAGAAAAAAAACTGACTTGTTTTTTGAAAGACCTTCAAAATCCAATGAAAAATTCATATGGCTTTAAAGCTCTTCGAATTTCAGCTCTTCAATTTTTGATTGACTTTTTTCGATAAAATTAACCTAATTTGAGAAAATTGGATCAATCGTTTATTTTATTATTCCGTTGAGACATCTGAACTTCTGAACCATTTTTCAAAAGTATAAGTTGATCGCACGTTTACTGACCCTTCGCTTTTTTTGTTCATAGTAGAGTTTGCTTTCTTTTCGAACTCCAACTTTTGAATTTAAAAAAAGATATGGCCTTAACCCTCTTTGAATGCTTGAAGAATTTATGCTTGACATTTTTTTTAATAAAGTAACTCAATTTGAGCAAACTGCATTAGTAAGAAAGATTTTGATTGCCTTAGAAAATCTTAAAATTGAAATCCACTCTCGAAACTAGAAATTTTTGCACCATTTCCACGTTTGTTTGTTGAGAGCTTCTAACTTTCCCTTACTTTCCCAAGTATACCAAACTTTCAACAGCTAAATTTGTATTAACTCAAAAATTGCATACCCACCTAAGAGCATTTATAAATGCATTAATAGGTATGAATGCACATCTGTAGTTATCAGAGCATTTTAGGACCATTTATTGAAAAAAAATTACCAGGACCGTTATTGCAATCAATATAATAGCAGATGCAAATTAAGTGCCACAAAGCACAGAACAGTGGTGAAGGGTGCCGGACATCAAACCGACGGGACTTCAAGCCGAATAATTTGTCAAACAGACATAAAACATGATTAATTTGAAGACTGTGTTAAAAATTTCACGTAAAGTGACCTGGTCCAGAAAGAAGGTACAAAATTGATTGGTTTACTGAATTTTCTGGCGCTTCACACTTAGACCACTAAAATCATAGAAAAAATGTTTATCGGAATCAATTGATTCCGCGGACAAAACTCCGCTAGATATATCTCCAAGATAGTTAGCCCTGAGATATAGACAATTCGCATTTTTCAGTTTTATTTTTTTAAGCATCCTCAAAATAGTAATGAGAAGAACAAAATAAATTGCAAAAAAAACGTTCATCTTCCCAAAAACGCAACGTTTTTAAAAAAGCATCCCATTTAATGAATCAAGGTCTTAATTTTTTCTGAAGTAATGTTAGACACAAACTTGACACAAAACAACTTTCAAAAAAGATTAGAAAAACTGCCCAGCCCATACATGCAATGTCAAGTAAGAATTAAAATAACTCGCAAGTTTTACTTAAAATTTTGAGTCAAATAGCTGACATTAGTTCAATTGGAATTCTTTGGAACCAGATTTTGCAGGCACCGCATATTGATCAGTTTGATCACTTTCAAACACCCATTGATTTACAACAGCTAATCCCAGGTAAAAAAACTATCTTGTACGCTTAAACTAGTCCGCGGATCAAGATAGTAATTAAAATTTTTGTCACAACATTTAACTTCAGAAAAACGAAATTAGTCTGCAGAAGAAAAAACAGAGCATAAGTTTTTTAAAGTCTTTTTTCCAAATTGATTTGTAACTAGCAAACAACACTCTATGATCGGAATCAGTTAACTGAAAAAACATAAGAAACTTAAGATTCAACTATATATTTTTTGTCAATAATTTGCTGCTTTCCGGAGCAAAGACAAAAACACTATTAAAATCAATTAACTACACTAGTAACCGATTATTGAGTTTAAAAATAAAAGGACATACATACTGAATAAAAAAACAGATTAATAAAGAAATACAGGCTTGTGTTCGACCAATCGCAACCAAATTTATACCGAAAATGGGTTTCAAAACTCAGTCTTTCATAAATAATGTACCTGAAAAAACTCAAATACAAATAGTTGAAAAAATGTCATTGGACTCAAGTAAAACCGGAGACAAATAGCTAACTTTTTTTGGAATTTTTCATATTTTGAAAAAACTAACACTGCAAATATTTGAATATTGAGTTATAAAAAGTACCATCAACCACTTTTTTCACAGAAAAGGTCAACTAGATAAAAACTGGGTCCATAGTTAGTTTGTTTGATTAAATTAAGTCAATCTGAGAAAACATGACACGGGTTGACCTCCATACAAAAAAAATCCTTATCGTACAATTCCATGCAAAGGTTCTATGGAAAAAATTGTATGATAATCATTTTTTTCCAGTGATTTTTTTCAGAAGTCCTTTAAAAAGATATTTTTTGGTAAGCTTAAATAAGTTTAAATTGTTTTTTGATTAAGTTAGATCAAATTGGTAATTTTTTTCTACAAAAAAAATGTTTATCAAGATGTTTATCAAAATGCTTACGATCTGAATTCAAACCTCTAATGTTTTCTGTAGTTTTTATTTTCTGTTGAGAGACTGGCACGTTGGGCTGGGCTATGCTTTAGATTTCGCCTCATTTAATTTCGAATGGAAAGGCATTTTTTGAAAACCCGGGAATTTTTTTCCCGCTGGGATGTCTGATAATTAAGTTTAACTTTTAAACTAGAAATTGATCACGTTTTTCATGACCTCTGCACTTTCGTAACTGTAGAGCGCAACATACCTAAGTTTAAGCAGGTGTAATTAAATTGAACTTAAATTGAGCCTAAATTATTAGAAGCATTCACAAAAGCATATAAATATATCCATGAACGCATTTCTGATTGCAAAATATTAGAGAATTTCAAGATTTTTCCTGAAAAAAAATGCAAAAAAATCATCACGACCTATGCAAATGTCTACCCTACGTTCATCAACTCATAAAAAAATATTAGCCCGCCTCTGGGATTTTAAATTCTCTGGGGATTTGCCGGGGATTTAAATTAGAAAAATCCCTGCTTTCGAAAAATCTTCATTTTTGTCAACTTTTAGCTTAGCTGTGAAAAGCTGCAAAAATTATTCTGAAAAAAATTCTGAAACTTTTTTCGTTGTCTGTCCTTATTTTATGCAACTATTTATCTTCACCTCGGATACCATATACCAGTTTTAATTTATCGAAAAACCCTCGTGCTTACAAATGTTGTAGCAACAGAACTAGTACTCCCTGCAATGGTTAGTGAAATAGTTGATGGGAGAGAAGAATACGAGAACTAGTGTGTTGCCTACCAGTACCTCGAACTCTCCCTTCTTCTCCTCCGGCACGATGGTCTTGCCCAGACTGGCTATCTCCTGAGCCAGTTGGGCCAGCTGTTCCCCATACTTAGTGGACTGCACTCTCATCCTGTCTTCCACTTCGCTGATTTGTTCTTGCACTTGCTGCGCCTCCTGAAAAGTAATAATAATCAGGGGCGGATTTAGGGGGGATGGGGCGGGAAGCGGGCGCCCTCTCCCCCTCCCCCCTCAGGGATTCGACCCCCTGCCGACCCAAAGGGTCCCTTCTTTGTACTATTTTGAGTTATCCATTTTTGCAGAAATTTTGGCCAAGACAGGGTCTTTGTAGTGCTTTGGGAGAGCTCAGAAAATCAACTTGATTAAAGTTAATACACCCACAAAATGAGAAATACATTGACCGTCCCTTTCAATTCTGGTTGCCAAATTTTGGTATAATTTTACGACATCCATTTTTGGCTGGTAATTTTTGCAAAACGCGACTGTACAAAATGCGATTGTACCACCTTTTGGCAAAATAGTAGACTAACAGTTTGGCAAAAAACGCCAAGAAGTGCCGAAAACTTATGTTTTAGACTTTTAGACATCCATTTTACGACATTCATTTTTGGCTGATTTTTCGGCGCCAGTATAACTAATTTTGAGGGGGGAGCGCGCGCCAAAAAAACGCAACTTTTTGGTCAAAATTTTCGAAAAGCTGTGAAAAAACGTGTTTTTTGCCTGGTTTTTTTAAAAAAAATTTGCCTGCGACGCAGCAATTTATTGACAAAAGAGGAGCCTTTCAGTATTTTCGGAAAGCTCGGAAAATCAAATTGGTCGACCTAAGAAAAAGGCATCCCCTAGAAAAAGTTCTGTGCACGCCACTGCGTCTAGTACTTTCACGTCGTACCAATATTGAGCCAAATTTTTGACATATGATCGAGTTTAATGATTGAAATTGGTAATTGGTAAATCCGAAGCTATAGATCAAGTGAGATCTCGTCTTCACACACTATCATTGTCATAATCAAATGATAATTAAGACCAGATATTTGGTATCAGGTATTTTCTGTTTTCCGGCCCAGAAGTACAGAAACGTTGATTTAGCTTCTTTATATCGTTACATTCACTTTTTACTTTGTTTGAGTTAAGAAATAGATTCCTTTCATTCAAATCAGTTTCCAGCATTTTAATCAAAGTATGCCACAGAAACATTAAGTATGTGCTGTAAAGCAGAAAAGACCTTTGTGTTGTCTTGCATTGTTTCTACCATTTATTGTCATATTTTGCAATTTTTGTCAAAGTCTGAATTATAACTTTTCGGTACTTCTTGGCGTTTTTTGCAAAACTGTTTGCTTCTATTTAGCCAAAAGGGTAGTACAATCACATTTTGCACAGTCGCGTTCGTTTTGGTACATTTTCACTTTCTCAGCAAAACTGCTGGAGCCCTTAAGGGTTACCTGGGACAGCACTTATTCGTTGAAAGTAACTTTTTAATGCGTCTAAAATCCGTTAAATATTTTTCTCCTAACGACTGCCACAAACTGCTACAAACGAGAAAAAAAAATGAGTAGCGGATAAAATTGTTCAACAAAAACTGGGATTTTCAATAAAAACAATTTTAAAATAGAAAATGGGCTCACTTGTGTCATGGACTGCATCTGTTTGTTGAGGTTTCTCACTTCATTCTCCTTCTCGTCTATCTGCTTCTTGGCTTGATCTGTCTCCTGAGTCATCTCACGCATAGCCTCCTCCAGTCTCCTGTCGGCGGGCAAAAGCAAACACAAATTTGTAAACAGAATGATACAGATAATCGTAAATAACGCAGATGAAAAAATTATATGAAGGATGAAAGAAAAAATTGTCCTAAATTGGGCAAAATGGCAATCATTAAACCCCATAACTTAACAAAAAATGATCACAGGTGAAGAGTGTTTTCAAATTTAAGCTCAGTACAACAATACTTTTTGAATGATATGAAAAAAATCCGTCAAAAATTGCTAGCTAAGAAGTCGAAATTTGCCTGAAGAAAAAGAACCACACCGAGCACAATTATTCCGCTACTTTAATTACGAAAGTCGGAATAATATCAAATGCAAATAAAGTTTTATTCAGGCTGGTGGTACACAAGTTTCAACAAATATGTATGAGTAATTTATCTTAAGCTCCACCATGAGATTAACCATTAGGTCGCTAGACATGTCGAGTGACGTCGTCTCTCCAAGTAAAAACTATTTTAAGAAAAGTTGGGTCTGATAACTTTAAAAATTCTAACCAACTTTTCATACATACAGCAGCTGATACCTGCATGCTTTTGTTGAACTCTTCTAATATACTTATTTTCTTACAACTAAATATCATTTTTCACTTTTTTTTTTACTTTTCACAAGAAAAGCGATTTGTACTTTTAAAAAAATTTAACCGAAAAGTATCTGAGTTTCAGAAAACTTCAAAACAACTTAAGAGTTTTAATAGGACAAAATATATCGAACTTTAATAACACCAATTTAAAATATAATTGTTAAAAAACACACGTGTTCATTACGTTTTCCTGCCATATTTGAAAAACTAGTGCATCTAGTGCAATGTTTGAAACACTGGTGCAGTATTTGAAACACTGGTGCAGTATTTTTTTAAAGGAATCAACCAAAACAAACTGGAAAAAAGACGCGTGTTAGCGTGAAAAACGTTTTCAAATGTAAGTTTTTTCTTCAATTTTTTTCTTATGTGCTTCATACCAGATAAGCATTAGCTTACATTGCATCTCGAAATTTGTGTGTCTCAATTTATAACAAAATTTCTTGATGCATTATATAGCTGTTGCCCAAAGTAGTCCCAAGTTCAAACCAATATAAGTTAGCCAAAAAAGATTAAAGGTGAAACATTTTTTTAATTTTGAGTCCTGTACATCAATATTTTTCTAACTGTATAAATAATTTCTGACAAAAATGACTAGTTATTAGTCTGGAGAAAAAACTATCTTACTATAAACATTCCGTTACATTTTGTGAAAGTCAGAACATAATTTGCGAAATAGGAAATACTTTCGCATTAATTATCCCAAAGGGCAGTTTTGAAACCCTCATAAAAAATGGTCCCAGGTTTATATCAGAGCTCAAGCGTCGCTTGTTTTCAGAGATCTGTATTTAAGCCCTAAATTGGCATTTTAAATATCGAAGTTTGGCCGAAGAAAAAAAACTCACCGAACAAAATATTTCGTCACTTTCTTGAAAATCATAAAAAAGTTTTGAAGTCGCACAAATTGCGTAATACGCTAGGCATTTATAATTTTGAGCCCAAAATGAAAAGTGAAAGGACCCTCCAATCTTGAGATATTCTAGATACAGCTTATGGGAAAAACCTTGAGTGCCTTGAACTGTTTAATTTTTGAATTGAGAGGTTTTTCTTGAGGTTCTTTTCATCGTTAAGGGATGTTCCTAATATTAACCTGTTTCTCTCTTTGTGTTTCTCCAGAACTCCGTCTTTTTCCTGGCCAGTTTTGTGGATCTTACGAGCCTCCTGCACCACATCTTTGTACGCTTTCTCTTGCTGCTTCACCTGGTGTGCAAAACAATTTCAAACTTTCCCCTTCGTAACCCAACAGTCAGCCACCAAAAAATTCTTTTTTTCTTATTTGGAGTGTGTACGCGTCTGTGTGCTTGTGTGTGTGTGTGTGGGGGGGGGGGGGGGAGGGGGTAGGGGTGCATTGTTTAAGAGGGTACAAAATGACGAAAATGGGTAAAAAAAAACTAGAGAGCTTTTCTTTTTCCCTGGGTTCATTGAAGTGCAAGTGGGGGGTTTTTACCCGAGTTCATTTTAGTTATGTTCTATAACAAGAGCATTAATTGATCGAAAAAGAGTTTCATGCAATAAAACTTTTGATTTTTGATAGTTTCATTATTCAAATAAATTTTTAATATTTCATTATTTATATATTTTTCATTATTAGCAGAACAGAACAAAGAAATGAACAAGATGTTGCTGGCTAAATAAGTTTTGCTCCTAGATTTGCACAATTTTCAGAAGTTAGATTATTCAAGTAGCTCTGAGCAAAAAGGAAAAATTTCCCAATTACCCTAATATTTGAGGTTGCATAATAATTACCAAAAAATAAAAAATACACAAATTCACCGTCTCCTCCAGTTTCTGCACTTTCTGAGTGAGCTCGGCTATTTCGTCGTCCTTGTCGTCTGCTAGCTGACCCAATTTCGCCTTCTCTTCTTCCAATTCCTGCGTCTTCATGTCAACCTAAATGAAGTCTTTGTTTGAAACTTATCCGACTTGTTTCAAACAATTTTTAACAGTATGTTGTTCTAATAAGTCAGTTTATTATTTTTTTTTCATTGATGGAATTTTTTAGAAATTGGAAGTTTCTGTTCCATTTGCCTTGCATATAGGTTATTTTGTAATGATTTAGCCCCGTAATTTGGAGTGTGACATTTTCTACCGTCACAGAATAATAAATAAGTGACATAGAGGCCTGAATCAAACTATTTATAAGAAACCCAAAGCTGAAATAGGCATTGTCAGCGTTTGTCAGCTAATCTTACCTCGGCCTTGAGAACAGCCAACACATCTTCAGGTACATCTTCACTCATCGCACTCTGGTCATCTTCAGCCGACTCATCCAGGGTAGCCAGCTCACCTGTCTTCTTCTTCTCTGAAACAACATGATGAAAAACTAATATTGCACAATAAGAAAAAAAAAGCCAGCGTCTGTGCAAGTAGCTGAGAAAACTCCGACTATAAAAAAATTTTGACAAAATAAAATCTTGGAGAAGAAAAGAGTTTGAAAAATTTTCGACAAAGATTTTTTGTGCACAGAAACTCATCTGCTTTTCTTGTAGACAGTAAAAAAAATTGAATTAAATTGAAGAATAGGAATAAAATTAAACACAGAAGCGAAGAGGAGCTTCGCACCACTTGCGATATAAGCAACATTGCCCGGAAAAAAACAACAAAAAATGGGATAAATTTTGAAATTATGTGATTTAAAAAACCGAATTTACCAAAAGTTTTATTTTCGTCTCAAATTGTTTTTTTTTAGTTTTTTTTTAAAAAAACCATGCCAGTTGAAAAATTTAAAATATTTGCAATAAGATGTTGGAACAGATCGAAATAATTCAAAAGAGCAATCGACTGATTTCGGCGTTTTTTTGCTTTCAAAAATTAAATTCAGACAACCTTGAAAATCTCACCGGACAAAATTTGAAATGTGAGTTCGTCGATTATTCGACGATTACGCAAGCTTAATTTTCAAATATTTTTTCGAAAATTCTCATGATACCTTAAACGATATAACGAAAACCGTAAGAAAAATCGAAGTCCAAAAATTATCGTGTCTTAAAACGACGTACATCAAACACGAATTATTCTCAAAAAAGAAAACCCTAGGTCGCCCTAAGAAACCGGACACTATTGAAGACAACGAAATTGTTCAACAGTTCGCAAAATTTGGTTCAGTTTGCCCGAAAATTACGCACAAAATTTTGCCTTTATCTTGTCCTTTGTCAACTTTGAAATGTGATTGCACGACGTGGGTGTAGATTTTAAGCGAAATCTTCTGCTACGTAAACTTCGATTTTTTGTTTGTTTCGTTTTTAGTTTTTACTTATGTTTAGACAGTTGCTCTTTTTAATTAATTCTGTGATCCTGTGTGTTGCAATTTTTTGATTTTTTCAACTCTCTGCCAAACAAATTTTATGAACCGGTTACAAAAAGGGGATCTACTTAACAATTTCTCCCCTGTGGTACTGACTTAAGAATATCCCCCCTATAATTTACGTGCTCATTTGCTAAGTTCATTTTACGTGCTCATTTTCTAAGTGTAACAGTTGTTGCCAATTAGAACTTACTCGTTTTCAGAATTTGCTGCATTCTGATTGGCTGAAAGTTCGACTGATTTGCTAGTAATTTGCTAGCTGAACCTATTTAACAATCCCCCCTTTTGTAATAGGGGGGGGGGGAGGAATTGTTAAGGAGATCCCAAACTGGATTTGATTAGAGAGAATGCTTGGGACTTGGAAAAAACTTCATTTCTAAAATTTTAATACACAAAAAGCAATGAAAATCTTTCTGGCAAAATGAAATTTCATATAAAATTGTTTTTATTTATCAAACAATTTAATATGGGCCAAAATGCCAGCATAAATTATGGGAAAAAAAGAATAAAGAAATTGAAAAAAAACTCAAAAATCTAGGATTATCCCACAACGGGTTTGTTAAATAAATGTACAAACAAAATAAAAGAGAAATTCAAAATGGAACAAGTGTATAAATTTTGTTGCTCAAATTATGTCAAAACACACATTTGATGACTGGTTGAGTGGGCAGGTTGACAATTCGTTACAGGCAACATTTCGTTACAGGCGACTATTCATAACAAGCGACAATTCGTAACAAGGCATTGATAAGTAAAATACGCTCGCTACGTTTCGTTTATCTGCACTTACATCCTGCTCGAGAGGAATACTGCGCGTGAATCATTGTTCCCGCTTAATCTACTATTACGAGTTACAATTTGTCGCCTGTTGCGAATTATTGCCTGTTACGAATTGTCGCCTTTTACGAACTGTCGCCTCATGGATTGAGTGGTTGTGCTAGACAAATCGCCTAAAAATATATATGTTTCCTGCATAAAAACGCCGACTAATACCACACACGTAATTATACTTTTATAAAAAGTGTTACGAATTTTACCGAATAATTTAATTGTTTACAAAAATTAATTCTGAGATTTAACTCAAAAACTTGTATGGACTGACTGCAAACATCAAATTTCTCTGAAATCAATTGAATGGATGTCCACCAGGCAGTAAAAGCCATCAAAATTTTATTGAAATGGATTCAATACCAGTAAAGACAAACTTTGTAGCCTCACCAAATCTATTCATATCAATTTTATAAACTTTTTGGCATTAATGGTACAGATTGTCGCACAAACATCTCCGTTAAGAAAAATTGAAATACAATGTTTTTTTTCAAGGCTTAACATAAAAAACGCAGCAATAAGAAGCAAGTGCGATTTATTCACCAGAGTTTGGGTACTAATAATAAAATACAATGTTAAAAAATAGAAAAAATTTCTCTGTGGTGGGATTTGGCAAAAATTAAATGCCCTTGTGTTGCTTTAATATATTACATTTTAAAGCGGCTAGGAAGAAAGCAGGAAAGTTTTAAAATGTTTTAGTAGCGATTTCAAGTGTTTTCATTGCAAGTGTTTTAAGGAACTTTGACGTAGGATGAAACTTTTTTTTAACTACTTCAAAGAGAGTTCGCATGGTTTTAAATGTGGTGTCAATTTTAAACGTTTCCCATGAGTTGTAGTTTGTAGTTAAAAGTTACAAGAAATTGTCTCAGTGTTGAGAAAAGCTTGCCTGAGTTTTTCGGTTTTCAGACTAAATGACATAAAATTTACGAAAGACAGTCAATGAGGCAATGAGAGACCAATCTATCAGTTTAATTGTTCTACAATCTAAGCACAATTTTGGCAATTTTTAATTTTTATTACTAAATTTAGCATTTTCACTAAACTAATCGCTCTTTTAAAAAAGCTTAACAGAGTTTTGCCATAAGAAAAGAACAAAATGAAAAAAAAATTAATTTTTTCTTTCGATTTTTTCAAATATTTTCACCTAGTATTTTTAAATCAGGGTATACGGATCATTCTGCGCTCCTTGCACTGCAACCAGCTACTCTTGTCAAAGTTGATGTTGATATAATTAAGCCCAAAATTTCTGCTCTGTTTATTACTCATAAAAGTTGACTTATTGAAAGAATCTAAAATTGGATTAAATCAAATTTTAGATAAAGAAAAAGAGCAATTTTAAAGTCGATTTCAACCAAAGTCGGTGTAAATCGAAACAAAATTATTTTTCGATCTTGTTGATATTACAGTGCTGATTTAAATTATCCTGACAAAATGAAAAAAAAAACTTTCATTTTTAAATGACCTATTTTTGGGGTAAAATTTTGGCGTCAAAAACCGCGAAAATTAAATTGCACCATGATAATTCCATGTAAGGGACAGTTAGGGGATTGGGGTGAGTATACTCTACGAATTATACTTTGCCCCTAGTAAAGTTTACTCCACACTAACTGCTGGACTTCTTGCTGGACCTGCTCCTGGCGATGGAGGTCTTGCTCAGCCTCTTCTTCAGCCTTTCTTTGTCTATTCTGGACTGGGTGCTTCCAGATCCCGCTCTCGTCCCCTCCTCTCCATCATCATCTATGTCCGCCTAAGGACGTGGAAGGGTACAAACAACCATCAAAAATCATTTACAAACTAATCAAGTCAATAACTGGTTAGAAAAAGTCTGATAAAAGACGACATGTGTGAAACAATACAACAAAAAGCTTCCAAAATTTTGTGATAAAACTTTATAGTATACATAGCAAAATTGTTCACATTGAAAAGGCCGTTCTTTTGCTTAGAGCGGTTCTTTTATTCAGAATTCAAGCTACAAGAAGTAAAACAGAGCCAACAGACAGTAGTTTGAAAAGAGTCAATGAACGCAAGTAAGCGGAAAAAATACTGACTTGTTTTTTGAACTTTCGATATCAAAGAAAAAATAGATGCCCTTAAAGCTCTTCGAATTTCAGGGAAAAACATCATCACGACCTATCAAAAAGTCTGAACTAAGCTCATCGACTCTTAATAAAACATATGGTAACAATTATCAAATATTTTTGTCAGTGTCTTTTTACCTTGGATCCTCCTCCCTTGCTCCCTCCCTTTCCGCCCTTGCCTTCTTCTATTTCACTCTCCAGTAATTTTTTCAGCTCGTCCAGGTCAATCTAAAAAGACCGTTTTCAGCACACTTCGGTTTTGTTCTCTTTTTTGCTTATTAGATTTACTGAACCTAATAATAGTCTAAAAAAACTTCTTCAAAACACTGAGGTGAGAAAGTTTTGGCCAATAAAGACAAAGGTCCTAGTTAGTATTAGAAAAAAAAAACGTTTATGCGGCTATTCGTTGTAGTCAATAACTTGAAACAAAAACATGAATTTTTGAAATAAATGCGAGTTCTCGCCTGTTCATTGGGGGGTACTTGTTCGCCCTTCCTCCACCGCCACGCTTCAGCTATCAACTTCAAGGTCAAATCCTTCACTTGATTTAACCTAAAAAGTTCAAATATCTTTCATTGTCCTGATATAAATTCATGACACATTGGATACTATTTACATGCTTTTTTGAACTGAACGTAGGCCAAGTGATTTTGGGGAATAGGGTGTACGTTATTTATACTCATCAGAAGTGTTTTCATTTCATCTAAGTTCTCCCATTTGGTATGATTTCAGGCACATATATTATACATTTCCCTGAAAGAACAACCAGATAAAGTTTTGAAAACGAGAACAAGTAACTCTTAGTTCTTATAATATTTCTAAAAGCAAGTTGAAGTTAACAAATTCCGGGCTATTACTATCAACCTTTTATTAATTGCATCATGCTTTCGCTTCCACTCGGCGGCCGAGAACTCCACATTGGCAGACACTACATTCTTGATGGTCTTGGCCCTCTGTCCGAACAGGAGGGTGGATCTGGTCTCTTCCTGGTTGTATCCAGCTGGAGAGACACAGATGATGACTGTGGTACGCGAGTTCCCTCCCAGACTCTCCTGAAATGGAAGTTAAATGTTTATAAAAACCAATTGCTGTGCTAGTAGCACTTAAGGTTCCCGCAACAGTGAAATGTACAAAAAAAACTATTAACACAATTTTTTTCCGTTTTTTTATTTTTGCTCTTCAAATTTGAATGATTTTTATGCGTGTGGGGATAGGGGCTAAACACCAGGTTGGCAAAAAAAAGCAAAAAAAAACTTGGATATCGACTCAAAAAAGTAAAACTTGGTTAAAATGAATCCAATGAAGTGTGAGTCTTCGCAGCAAACTTAAGGAAAATAAAAAAATTCAATATGATTTTTCACAACAACTGTTTCTTTCAAGTTTTTCTGCGTTAAATCTAGCGCCCAATTCGGCATTTTTTGTGGCATCTGCAACTGTGTGGAATAAACTTAAGATATTAAGATCAAAAATGCAAAAATAAATAAAACACACTTGAATAAAGAGTTCTTTCCCTTTATTTAATCGGAAAATTTTTACACATAAGTGAAACACAGCATCACTTCACATGTGATACAGAACAAAGATTTTGTGACAAAATTATTGACAACAGATGAGACGAATCACGAAAACAAATGGAAAAACTTTCGAGAAAATTAGATCTTCAAAAAAACTTCCGATGAATTTCTCGGTTTTTTTTTTTGAAAAGTTTTTACAACGAGAAAAAAATTATCTGGTATGAATTATCAGTTTAATTTCAGCATTAGAGCAAAATTTACAAAATGCAAAAAAATTTGAAATTTTTTGATCGGAAATTCCTTGAGCCGGAAAAAATAAAAACAAACTGAAAACTCATGTAAAAAAAGAAACCAGCACTCAAAGCATACACAAATATAAGCAACTGTTTTGCTCGTCAAAAAGGGCGCAATAAAAAGCACTGAATCTGAATAATTTAAACCCAAGCCTTTAAATCTGAAAAAGCGAAAAAGATGAAGTTATATCAAACGGAAGTTGGTAAAATTGGTTTAATGAGAAAACAATACAAAGCGTGTAAATTAAGGCAAAATTGACTACAAATTATCAAAAATGAGAATTAACGAAAAACAAATAAAAAATTAAAGTTTTTTTGCAGAGCTTTACTTTTTTTCAGAAAAAATTCTTGCACAAGAAGCGTTGAAAGAAGATTCTAAAACTAGTTTTAATTTTTTGTCAAATCATTTTTTAAGCTTAGTTGACCATTTTTCGTATATTTTTGATTACTCGATTGCGTTTCTCGCTCAAATTTAGTCTAAATCTTAAAAATTTCAAACTAGTTTTTTCGACATTGCAACTACTTTTTGAATAATTTTTTTGCTATTCGAAACCGACCGAGAGGGCTTTAAATTGATATATCAATCAATCCATTCCGATGATTATTTTATATAAGCTGTATTTTTTATTTCCACGAGCAAATGAGCTATATTAATGTTTCCTCTGCAGGGCAGATATTGAAGTTTCAAAGATGAATTTTGACAGTTGCGGAATGAAACTATTAAGCAGGATTTAGTTAGGTCATAAATTTGAAAAAATTTGAAATATACAAAAATAACTTGAGCACTGTAATTCAAACTCCTTGTGTTGTTTGCTATGATGCTTCTGCAGCAAGAACAACTCTGAAACTAGTTAGTGATATTTTGGCTTTTTCACACCTTCAGAGCAAAGTTTTTCAAAACTGGATCCGGTTAGCTTCTTCCAAACAAGTTCATCTCATATTTGTCTTAATTTTGACCCTGTCTTAAATATTTGCAGAGAAAACGACAAAATCGTCTAAAAAACCGTTCATTTGTTTGTTGAAAAATAAAACTTGAAACTTTTTTGTCCCTTGACTGAATAACGTGTACAAACTTTTCAAACAAATGCCCACCTGTAATATTCTGGTGAGTTTGCTGTCCCTGTAGGGTATGTGGCCTCTGGTTTTGTCAGTGAGTGCAGAGATGACATTTCCCAGACAGGAAAGAGACTTGTTGATGTTCTTCGCCTCATCCAGTCGCTCGCCCTGAGCACCCGATTTACTCACCTGGGAAAATTGCACACTTTTTTTCTATACACTAAGGCAAACGCAACGTTCTTATCGCAGACACCTATTGAACAAATTTAATTAACAACAGTAGTATTTTTTGTCTGTTTTCGAAAATTCGATAAAAAATACCCCTTAACCGATCAAAACTGGCTATTTTGTAAGACTTTCCAAGATTCTTTGAAAATTGACGAGTAACATCTGAGATACTTCAGAATTACTGTGATGCAAGATAATAATGCTTTGCAAGATTTTTAACACCCAGTTATCTAGAATAAGGTCAGTTATCTGGAATTGTTAAGCTAATGAAATATGAAATTACATTGTAAAAAAGAAAATTTTTTATACAGGTAGAGTTTTGAAGATATATCCACAAGGGAAGGGACCAACATACGAGCTGTTTAGATCTTCACTGAGAACCGCTGTTGTGCCCCTCCTTAAGATATACTTTTACACTTTTTTGGTTATATTTTCGGGCTGGGTAATGTTGCGTTACCCTCAAGCAACGAGTACGGATAATGGTGGGCATCGAACATCCGACCTTCCGATTGAGAGGCGGAGACATACCCACTTCACCAGATGGTTGACTAAACCTATACTTTCATGATTTATTTATTTTTTGACCCATGCTACGATAGGCTCAGTTAGTGTTTAATCATTCCTAAAAAGACGGTAGCTTAACAGTACAGCAAATAAGTCTTACTTTTTCACTGCCGGCCAAATCTACGAGGTACAGTTTACCCGAAGTCTTCTTGTTGTTTTCTTTGTTTTCTAAAAAAATACAAACACTTTTTTGTCGAATCAAACTTAAATTTTTATATGAACTAAACATATCCCTGCAAAAATTGATAAATTTGCTAAGTACCAAAACTATGCTAAGGCTGTGTAATTTCCAAAATGTTTTATTTGTTAATGCGGCCAAAATAGCGCATAATTTCTAGACAGCTTTTCTCAGCTCTTTTCTATATTCCTTAAATATTCCGTAAAAATATTCCTTACGCAAAAAAATGACCAAAACATTTCTGTGCGAAAAAGTGAACGAACTCAAAAGACGGTTCTCGCATGTTCAGATCATCAAAAGAAAACGGTTATCAGACTAGTACTGAGTTCAATAGATATGAAAATGTGGAAAACGGCACAAGTTTTCAGAAATATGTGATTGGTCGCCTTGGATGACTTGAATCTGGAACACAGCATGGCTGCGTGAAGAGTGTTCGTTCATGTTTGTTCCTGCCGTCTTCCTGTTCTTCTTTCCCTTGTTGATCAGACCCATCACCTCCTCCGGACTGGTTGCATATTCCTCTGTCAGACCCTAGACACACCATACACTGTATGCGTTATCAGGGTTATAGACATTTTCATATAACTCATATATTTCTAAATCTTAAATTAAGCCCCACAAGCTATGTAAAGCTGAAAACGATATAATTTGCGTGTGATAACGTACGAAAAAGCAAATTACTTGCCTAAGTTCAATTTTGAGGGTTTAATTTGCCATCACCCGACACTCTAGGACAAAGTGATATATTTTTCATATAGCAAAGTACTAACCAGACAAAATAGCATGCATCAATTCAAACTGAAACAGTATCTAGGACGTAATGGCACGCGTTAAAAGCCTGAAATAGATCGCGCAAGTTATCCCAAATTAGCCAAGATGGTAATTTCAATTTCCCATAACTTTGCTATAAGTTATCACAGGTGAAAAATCATGTTTGAAACTGAGCCTGAGAGAGCAAGGCTTTTTGAATGATCTTCAAAAAATTTTCAACACTTGCATGTAAAAAATCGAAAATTGTTGGAGATAAAAATCATCGGATCACAAATATCCCGTCTTTTTCTTCAAAAGTTGGAACAATGAGCCGAATTTGTAAATCAGGAAAGAGAACACACATTAGTTTCCTAATTTAAAGCGGTCAGACAATTAAAAAATAGTCAATGATTTCAAAGAAACAAAAAGAATCTCCTTTGTTTTTCAAAAACAATTTAACTTACGAAATTCAAAGTAAAAAAATTATAGCTATAAAGTTTGTTTGAACATCTTCAACATTGACACAATTTTATAAAATTAACTCAGTTTAAGAAAATTGATCAATAGGATTTTTTTTGCGCTGGGATATCTGAAAGTTAAATTCCACTTTCGAAACTACAAGTCGATCACGTGAATTTTACACTTTTGCTGTTTGATGGTGGACTTTGCCATTCTTTTAAATAAAAAAAACTGAACTAGAAAAAAGGGAAATAAAACCGAGAAAAATCATTTTAAATTTGAAGTGTGAACAAATTTTACGTTTTTTCTTGGAAAAAGAAAACAAAAAAAACCACCGCGACCTTTATAAGAGTCAACAATACGTTCATCGACTTTTTAAAAAATAAGAAAAAAAAGATTGCAAGCATTATTATATACTGCCGGTTGCAAGCTGCTTGATGCGGTGTGAACCACCCATTCATATTGCTCCGCTAAAAGAATTTTATACATAGCCAACAGACATTTAGAAAACATTCCAAGGAAACAGACAAAAAACAGACTGTTTTTTTCTTTCGAAAAAAAACATTACGATGCCAAGATGTGCACTGGATCGGCGTTCCATTTTATGTCTGTATGTTCCTGGATTCCAAAGACAAACTTTTAAACGTTTATTTTTTCGGAACGATCAAAGAAAAGGAAAAAACCAAAGAAGAATAAAGAGAGCGTCCTTGTAGCTGAATCCATTTACAACTTGCAAAATACAGTTTTAAAAACTTCAATTTTCGAATTTCAAAATCTATGGCGTTGAAGCTTTTTGAATTTCTAAAACAATTTGTGCTGGAAACAGAATCACTCTGTGAAATTTTTATTCCGCAGAGAAATTTGAAAACTAAAATCCACTTGTGAAATTGGAACTCGATCACGTTATGCTTAAAATTTACATTTTTGCTTTCCTTCAACAAAGGAAATGATAATTTAAAAAAAAATCACAATTCAACCGCAAGAATTCAAAGTTGAGCATGAAAAAAATCTGAAAAAAAAATCACGACATATGTAATAATCTGTATTACGTCGATCGCTCTTAAAGGGTTTATTCGAAAATTATATTTCAAATAGTTTTCGTCCAAATTTTTCTCTTAATAATTTTTCAACTACATTTTGAGGTCTCACTTAGTATTAAAAATTGTATTTCTATTTTTTCGTACTGAAATGGTATGTGTATATAGCGTAGATAAGTGGGCAGGAGCGACAGCTAAAAAAAGGAAGTTTGTATAATTCATCAAAAAATCACGCCGTTCTAGAAGCAACAGCCGACGAAAATCTCCGAATGAGAAAAAACTCGCCTTAACATATGGGATTCTGTTTTTGTCCTCGTGTACTGGCAAGTTCTGTTTGTTTTTATCCATCAAATCCTTAATCTTCTCATTGTATATCTCGAAGTAGGCTATCTTGATTTGGATCTCGGTCTGCTCGTTCAGTTCGTCAATGTAGTTGAAGATGTCCCGGTTGATTCGTGGGATGATGCCCATGTCTTCTTTGTCATTGAGGACACCTTCCATCGTGTACGTCTTCCCTAAAAGTTCAAGCATGGACAAATTTGCGAGAAATTTTTAAAATAGTGACAATTTAGTTCTAACGCATTCAATTGATACCTCTAACCATTACTGATACAATGCAAAATACTCGAATTTCTTGTCTTTTTTAGTTCAGAATCAGGGCGCTATTAACCGTTATATCTTTATCCAATTTACCCATTGAAGCTTCTTCTTAATCTTTATAAATCATTTCCCAAAACTGGAAGAGAGATAGTGTTGATTTAAAGATACAAAATTGCTATATGCTTAGCTGTTGATTTGTTAGTTTATAAGAAAATGATATTTTTGACTAGCTACTGTCACGGGACAAAAAATTTCAATTCCTCGCTCAACAACAATCTTTATGAATAAAAACGTTTTCTTTAGGTTTTTTCAGGCCCCTCTACAAGAAGATGATATTCATTAATGAATTTTTCACATTCAATCAAGTTCGCCAAAATAGTTCTGTAGGTGCCGAGAAATGCCCGTAACAAAAAAATGTTCAATTAAGTACTGTTTTCAATGCTTGTTTCCAATGCATTGTAAGCGCAAGACGGTCAAAACTTTGGGGACTCTTTTTTATCGTTTAATTTATCGTTTTTGTCACTTGCATTCGGTCACAAACATATCCCAAAAACTTTGAGAAATTAAATTTAAAACAAATCATTTTTTTTAGTTTACGGGAAAATGCTAAATAAACTATTTTCAGATATGAAAAAAAAGCTTATCATACATTTTTCATGCAATTCCATAAATACAGAAAGTTGCATGAAAGGTCTATGTCCAGTGATTTTTCATTATTGGGAATTATAGGACCAGCATTTTCCCATAAATGAAAAAATAAAGTTTTTTTTTAAATATAGTTTCTCAAATTTTTTGGGATGTGTTCGTGACCACACACAAGTGACAAAAACCATGGTTTACCCAAAACTAGAGACACCGAAGATTTAATTGTTTTGCGTTTACAATGCATTGGAAACTGCCTGAATTTTAAAAAAGTTTTCTTAAGTAAACCATATACTAAAGCATCAAACATTCAAATTTTGGCAAAGATTTTCAAAGGTGCTTATTATAATATTTATATATTATATTATCAAGCATGTCATACAAAAGCATACAAAAGAAAAAAGAGTGTTTACCCATTTTGAAAAAAGTTATCTAGAGAAAAGGAAAAAAAATGCAACTTTTGTGTATCAAGACCTATGTTATGCACACAAAAAAAATAAAAACTTTGCATGCAAAAAAAAAATTTTTTTTGGAAAATGTTTGTTTGAATACAAAATTCAACTTGGGGTTGGAAAAAAGTTTTGGGGCCATTTCAAAATGACTTTTGATTTCGCCATCAAAAATGCTAGTCATACAATTTCCATATATTGAAATTGTATGATTAGCATTCTTTTTGGCAATTTTTTTTTCTTTTTAATGAGTACGATACGCCAATTTTTATAACGTTTTTGGTCTACACTGGTCAACATGGGTCTCTAAAATATTTTTCCAGATACTGGAAATAGGGTTTCTTTAAAGGTATATGCTTAGCTGTTGATTTGTTAGTTTATAAGAAAATGATATTTTTGACTAGCTACTGTCACGGGACAAAAAATTTTCAATTTCCTGCCCAACAACAGTCTATATGAAACAAAATGTTTTCTCTAGGCTTTTTCAGTTCCTTCTTTAAGTAGATGATATTCATAACTAAAATTTTGACATTCAATCAAGTTCGTTAAAATAGTTTTCTAGGTGCCGAGAAATCACCGTAGCAAAAAATTGTTCATTTCAGTACTGTTAGTTGGAAAGCTAAGACTCTTAGCTAGGCGTTCATTCAAAAAAATTTCAACAATACAATTGATTTAAGAAGTTACTCAGCTACGAAATAAAAAAAAGTAAACTTGATTTAAGTTGTTTGGGTAGTAGACTGAAGAAAAACTTTTCTTCAAATTTCAAATTTTTTGCATTCCTAATGTTGTAGCAAAAAAGTAGTTGAAGTTATTGTTTTCAAGGTCTATTTTAATCTCGTAGTACTTCTATGAAATTTTTGATTAAAAAACGTCCGAATCCATCCGCTTTTTTTCCAGTAAGTTTTTTTACCCAGGTAACTTGTTTGTTACGCTTTTTTTTGAACTGCCAACCAACTAATGTCAAACAAACGTTTCTACGTTGATCCAACTAGATCATTTTTATTTCGACCAATTCAAAAATGGTCAGCAACTTTTATTCGAGTGTGTCTTTTTTTTTGTTTTCTTATTTTCTCCACAAAATCAGCTACCACAAATAATCAACGGAGAAAGATATCATTTTAAAATCCTTACACCTGTGATTCAAACAAAATTAAAACGTTTCAATAAAACATTCTCGGTGTCAAAAAAAACGGTGGGAAATTTTTGTTATTTCACTTTTGTATTCGGATGTGTGAAACACCAACCTGAATACAAAGACGAAACACCAAAAATTTCCTACTGGTTTTTCTCAACACTGGGATTTTTCTAGAAAATTTTTTCAATGTGTCTCGAATTGCGGATGTAAGGATTTTGATATGATATATTTTTTCACTAATTTTTTGTGGTAGCTGATTTTGCGGTGAAAATAAAAAAAGAAAAAAAAGACACACTCGAATAAAAGTTGCTGACAATTTTTGAATTGGTCGAAGTAAAAATGATCTAGTTGGATCAAAGTAGAAACGATTGTTTGACATTAGTTGGCTGGCAGTTCAAAAAAAGCGTAACAAACAAGTTGCCTGGGTAAAAAAACTTACTGGAAAAAAAGCGGATGGATTAAAAAATAAAATAAAAAATAAAAAAACTAACACACAGTATTTTATTTTTTTTTGTTTTTATTTTTTTTGTTTTCCGGTCAAAACCATACTCAACCCAGAAATTTATTACATTAAAGTTCTTACAGTCGTGACTTGAACGATATTAGAAAAATTTCATAACAAATTTTTGAGTATTGAAAAAACCTGGATTTAGTCTCAACTCGATCGCAAAAAGCGAGAGAGCATGCTTACAATAGCTTGTTTTAAAAAGTTAAACTCAATTTTACACAAAAAATTTAGTTTTTGTTCTAGTTTGTTAGTGTCTGTTTGGAATCAAAATCTTCAAATTTTCAAAAAACTGCACAAAAGCTAAATGAAAAATTTTTGAAAATTTATTTTTGATTTTTTGATTTTTTCGTTTTTCCATTCATTTTTCTGCAATCTTTGCAATTCGCTAATTTTAATAAAACTATCGAATCTGCCTAATCTCTTTGAGCTCATTTTTTACACCGCAGTTGAAAAACGACCCTTTTTTGAAAAAAAACCGTTTCGTTGTATTTACGTAAGACTATGGTCGGAACTTTATCTACTGTTTGCACGGTAACCGGTTATCCTTTTTTAATAGTTTTAATTAGTTAATCAGTGAATCTCTGAAGTGGTTACAGAGAAAAAAACGTGATTAAATTTTCAATTCGATCCATTGGTTGAAAATCAAAGTTGCAATTTCTTTTTTCCGTGTCTGTAAGGAAGGCAAAAGCGAATAGTTAAAAATATATCACTAAGTTCATACAATTTTTCTTCTTTTCGTTCAAAAAGTTTTTTCAATGGTAGCAGCAATGGTTTTTGTACCGACAAACAGCAGGCGTCGGCTAAGCTACATACTTTTTTTAATGCTAGGTACCCTAATTAATCTCAGATTAAGTAGAGTGTTTTTTCATCAAATAATTCTCTCGGCCGTGATATTCGTGTTTGCATATTTCAATTTGAACGGTTTTCAACCTGTATTTAAAACATATTAAATAACACTAACTTCAAACTTATACTTACTTAACTTGTAGCTAAAGTAAATGTACTATTACTTAAAAGGAAAGTAGCAAAAATTTGAAATATGTTCATTTAGAATAAATAACTTTTGCTATTTGCCTAGTCACCATGTATTCGAGGGAAACTCAGTAAAAATGGTCCAACAGGGATTTTCTCAGACAAATTGTCCACTGCATTAAACGCCCTATCATTAACTCTAATGCAACCAGTAATCAGTTTTCAGTGTTCATTTATAATTGTAAGAAAGTTTTTTTTTGAAAATCTAAACCGTTTTGTGCGCTTTTTCCCTCTCCCCGCACATTTGAGTTTGAACTTCAAAAAAACCATTGTAACGCTATCATAACATTATAAAAAATTGCTTAGTGATCTATTGGCTATTGTGAGCAGATTTTTTCTTCTACATCAGATTGAAATACTTTTCGTTCAGCGATAACTACACTTAAAACAACTCTTAAATTGGAAATTTTGAAGTGGGGAAATTGGAGAAAAACCAACTACTTAAAAAATCAATCATTGTTCAACCTAAAATTCATTTGCGTTTTGTAGCGGAAAATTCAAAGTTCAAAGCAAAAAAATAAAATTGAGCGTGATCAAATTAAATTTTTGCCGAAAAAATCATCATTACTGTAAGTGTCTTGACTAGGTCCATTAACACTCACTCAGTCTGACTATCGATTAGGAAAATTTAAAACACTACATTTTTTCCAAAATAACAACGCTTTTTATTTATTTCATCTTTCTGGCCCTTTTCCAGTTTTTCATCACTCTCGCAAAGTTGTCATTTATAGGTATTTTGAAATTGTGCATACGGCAAATAACATGCAAGAAACATTGAAAAACCTGTTAATTTGTTCATACGACCCCTTTTTTGCTTACAATATGAAACACCATTTTCATCAGGCTTTCGTAAAAAGGTTTTTCAGAAAAAGTCAGAAGAGAAAGTGGAAAAGAAAGCGTAGTAATTTTTTTCTCTCGTTTTGAATACCAAGCAGAAAACTCATGGCTAATCAAATCTGAAACCACACCGAAGACTTTTAAAAGTAGGTTGAGTTCCAATCGGATGTAATTTTTAAAAAAAGTTTTCCTTGTTTGGCTAAAAATTTTGTGTGTTTTTTTAAATAGTTCAGTGTCAACAACTTTCAGATTGAAGTTTGTTCACACTGAACTCAAATCTTATTACCTCTAATTTGATTCTATGGCTTTTTT